ACACACACACACACACACACACACACACACACACACACACACACACACACACACACACACACATTCCCCCTTTTGTCCTTCGGCATTAGTTCGTTCACGCTCTCCCTCCAACTTCCCTCCCTCGTTCCTGTATGTTTTTGCCTGTTTCCTTTCTTTTTCCCTGCAAGGCAGATCTCCAGGGTGGAGCTTCTACCATCATATATTGCAAATGATGATGCGAAGGACATCACTAGGGGTACATCAAACACGTGGCCTAATGGAGACAGTGTGAGTATACGCACCTGGCTGGATCCGGACGGCATCCTTGTTATAGAGGAAAAGGACCCATTTAACGTAACGATCCTCCTTGCACAGGTGTTCTCCGGGTGGGGCTTTGTCACATTTGTCTTTCTGTCTCTTTTCCACAAGCAGAAACATGGAGGGGATGTTGAGAATGATGTGGAAAGTGGTCGCGTCTGGCTGGGCCGCTCAAAGAAGCCAGGCGGTCGTCAGATAGGAATGTCAAGGGGTCTTCCTGAGGATATGTCACCCCCTCCACCACACGTTATGGGGGTCCGTTCCACAGATTTCCCCCCCCCCTACCAGCATGTTAGTGTCTCAGGGGTTCAAGTATGTGGCAGCCATCCGGGCATCGGGTATCCTACTCCCGGCAGAAATGTTGTCACCCAAGAGCCAGCAGTTCATCCCCTTGAGGCCGACCACCGACCAGACGGTCATTCAAAGTTCGAGTTTGTTGGCGGTACTTTCGCGCCTCGTCTAATGGCCCTGGATTCGAAGGATGCCGCAGCTGGGAGTGGGGCGGGGGGGGGTCAGGAAGTGTTGACTGGGGTGAGAAGGGTCGTCTTTGAAAGCCCCGACTTTGGAGGGCACAAGGTCCCAACGATAAGACTGAGGGATCTTCGGCCTCTTACCGCCTCCGTGCCAAGAATGCCGGAGAGTCGCACCCCTGTCTACACTCCGAGATACACCCTGCGGAGGAAATCAAGGAAAGGTGGCGATGTTGAAGCAAAAGTGTCGCCAAGCCGGAGCAGAGAGGAGAGCGGCCCAAAGTCAGACAAAGAGGGCACGCCAAAGTCAGACAGAGATGACACGCTGAACAGAGTCAGTACCCCGAAGTCGGACAGAGTTGAACCGCCAGAAGGGGCTGAGTCACCAAGGGTTACGGACCCGACTGCAGCTCATGCCAGTGGGCAAGTGAGCCCGACCTTGGACACATCCCCCTCACCCATCAGGAGGAGGATGTCCTCCTAAGGATGAGCAGTTTGCACCTTTGAGCGGGGGACTGAGAATTATAGCGGAGAAGGGTGGCCGCTGGTCAATGCAATCGATCCATGGTATGGCTGATTGTCACTTATATCTTCCATACTCAGGTTGTTACTTTGATATGGGATGTCCTTATGTTCGCTCTGCTATACACCCCCTTAAGCATAGAAGGGGCACATACAGTAGTTCCCTTGTGTCATGTATACTATATACAACTACCCACTCCCCTTTCTACTGTCAAGGGACACGGGGCTCACATCTCCTGACAAGTTCTGAAGCTTTTCACATTCCTCTGTTCACCTGCCAACGTACCTCCGTGTGTGTGTGTGTGTGTGTGTGTGTGTGTGTGTGTGTGTGTGGGGGTGTGCGTGCGCTTGTATATGCATGTGTGTGTGTGTGTGTGTGTGTGTGTGTGTGCGTGTGTGTGTGTGTGTGTGTGTGTGTGTGTGTGTGTGTGTGTGTGTGTGCAGGTCTTGCAGGCTGCCTGGGGGAAGGGTGTGGGGTAGGAGACAGGGGGTGAATGACTGTCTTGACGCCAGCTTTGGCTGGATTTAGTCTCGCGAGTTTTCAGATGCAGACGCACGGAAACACCTCGCTGAGCCTTTTTGGTAGGGGGAGACAATGCTGAACCTGGAGGGGGATGTCTGCTAGAATGTGTGCGTGCCTTCAGTATACAGTGTAATCGAACGGACGTTCGTGCTGTGACTACACACTATGCTGTACTCAGCACAGTAGCTGCCACGGAAATGACAGGTCAGGTCAGGTCAGGTCAGGTCAGGGGGGTACTTTACAACATAGGGACAGCTTTGGCTGGATTTAGGCTCGCGAGTTTTCAGATGCAGACACACGGAAACACCTCGCTGAGCCTTTTTGGTATGGGGAGACGATGCTGAACCTGGAGGGGGATGTCTGCTAGAATGTGAGCGTGTCTGCAGTATACGGTGTAATCGAACAGACGTTCGTGTTGTGACTACGCACTATGCTGTACTCAGCACAGTAGCTGCCACAGAGATGACAGGTCAGGTCAGGAGGGTACTTTGCAACATAGGGAGCAGGGGGTTCTGTGCGGGCTGTGCTTTCTTCGGTTGTACCATGAGTTGAGTTTTTGGTGTTTCTGTGGGTATGTGGTGTATATCGTCAAACAGAAATTTGTTGTGATATATTAGGTGTCCTATGTTCATCACGTGACTGTGCGTTACGAAATACTTGGGTACTTCAGTGGCATGGGAAGAAACTATAGGCTAGTTCAGGATGATGCTTAACAGCACGGGAAGAGGGGTCGTGCGGTTTTTCGTTGCACCATGAGCTCACTTTTTTGGGTAATTTACAAAATTTCTGCCTTCCGGCGTGCTTTGCATTTCTCTGGTAGTCGTGCCTTTCCTGGTACTTCGAATTTGTTGAAGAGCTTCAGAGAGTTCTGCAGTCAAAGGCATCCTGGTATTGTTTTCAGGTTTTGCAGGGTGGCGGAGAGGGAGAGGTGGATGAACGGCGATTGGTTGCCAGTCGTCCATGGCCGGAATCCGTCGGATAGATATGGTGAGACAAAGGAGGTAAGCGGTTGCTGTATTCCATGTAGGGGACTGGTGATTTCAAAAGTTTCAATAAAGTCGTCGTTGGCGGCAGTGTGTCATAGCTTGCGTTTCGCCAACAGGTAAACGAGCAACTGGATTGGTTTTGATCACCCCTGCCTCAAAATATTGAAAATAGAGGTAGGAGGAAAGGAGTTTCTGTATTTCATGTTGGTGACTGTGACTGGTGATTAAAAAAAAAAAACAGTAAAGACACATCATTGGCGGCAGTCTGTCATTGCTTGTGTTTCTCCGATGCGCAAATGAGCGAATGCGTTGATTTTTTATCCCCCTTGCTCGAAATATTGAATATAGAGGTGTCAGCGGAAGGTTGTGATGAATATTTATGGCAGGTGAGGAGTTTATTCTCGCTCGAAGTGCATTTCATCTTTCGTGATTGGACGTATGTGGTCAGGCTGTGTGGGCAGAGGACGTCCAGCCGGGACAAGTCCCAGGCGACCTGTCCAGAAATCTGAGCATGTTAGAAAAGGTAAGGGGAGACACCTTTCCAGTCTGGTATCAGTTTGGAGGTTATTTCCAAATAAGAAGCGTAGGGGGGCTTCAATGGGGGTCTGAATGGGTATAAAGCATAGATGTGGCGCATCACGTGCGCGCGAGTTGCGCTCGTGCGCAAATGCGCGTGCACGCACAGCTGCGCCACAAGTGCGAATTTTTTTTATTTATTTTTTAATTGAAAAGGGCAGGCAGTGGGAGCCCCCAACGAAGCCCTCCCTTCCGAAAATTCCAAGTGCAAAGAAAGAGAGGATTTGGGGCCTCATCATACTCGTTGGGTTCCAAAGGGCCCCCAGAGGAGAACTAATAAGGGTCCCATTCCTCTGGAAAGGCCGTTCGTTATATTGCAGCAAGGGCAGGGGGCGACCATCAATATATAGTCTGGATTCAAATTCAGGTCTGTGTTCCAGGAGTTATGGGTTACTAACTCGGTACTGCGGTAGCTCTCTCTTTTTTCTTGTTTTTCCTTTTCTTACGTGCAGTGGCCCTAACTTAAGGGCCTCACTCCACCAGTCACAATGGCGGCGTATGCTTCCATGTTCTAGGAGAAGATTCATGCACATTTGGTGAGTAGTAGTGGAGTGAAGCCCTGAAAATTACGTGCCGAGTTAGTAAGTCAGTAACCCATAACTGCTGAAACACGGACCTGAATTCGAGGATACAGCATATAGAGTTCGGGCTGCTGCCACCAACCTCCTTGTTGGCGAGGGAATCCTAGCTGATTAAGGGGAGGGGGCTTTCGGAGTATCAACTGGGGTACTCTGAATAATGTGAAAGAAGTTCGAAGAACTCTTTGCTTGCTCTCTCTCTCTCTCTCTCTCTCTCTCTCTCTCTCTCTCTCTCACACACACACACACACACACACACACACATGCATGTATAAGTAGTATACACATATCATGGACGCTTTTTTTTTGCGCATCAGCGTTCAGCATGGCGCACCACACAAATGCGCTGCAAGTATGGTATAAAGGGGTTCAAAAGGGGGTTAAAGGTTGTATTTTGTATTTTCAGTTACCTCACATCCGATGATGAATCGTGCAATGAGCCGATGGTTGTATTACTATCTTACACAGGACATACATCTTTCCTGATTGTTTTGGAAATTTTTGAAAAAATTCTAGAGTTTTGCTCTTGCACTCGACTGTTTGGGCATGACGTCTGGATCTGGCTTTGGAAAGGCCGGGGCCTGCTGGACATCTGGCCCGGCTATATCAATTTTAACTGGCTTCTTCCATGTCATGGAACATATCTTTTTTCAACTCTTTCACTACCTACCTACCTATCACTACTCCCTAAGGCTATACAGGGGACCCCTGCAAGCGTAGCTATCTGCCTCTCTTCGGTGAAGGGAGGTTACCTCCCTCGATCGATAGAGGGAGGTAATTGCATGTTTGCCCCTTGCCCTGGTGGCTTAGGGTGCGGGGTTGGTGCCCCCAGTTGGGGCCCGGCTAACACAAGGACCGAGCGTGCACCTGCAAGTTGCAACTGCCCCTCCCTTTTCATCTTCCCCCACCCCCATCAAGTAACAGCAGTGTCCAAAGCCAACACTCTCCCACACGTCACACTCAGCCCACTCACACTTGCACTCGCACCCTCGTTGGCTGAAAACCTTACTGATACCGACCGGGAGTATCCAGCTGACTATATCTCAGGTCCTTGACACCAAGCGTGTACTGCAGGTGGCCATGGGGATTGAACCCACGACCTGTCTTGAATGCCACTTGTGTGCCTAACCGATTGATTGAGCTACCGTCTTCACCCGAATATAACGCCCGGCCATTATAGCTGTATTTGGCACAACTTTCAGCCCAGATATGATGATAATTACCGTGTGCCGTCTTCAGGTGAAAATGGTAGGCCGCTGAATGGCCGCGGTAGATCTAGGGTTGGACAAGAAACAACGAGAGGAGGGTGAGGAAATGGATCCATT